CCCTAGCGGTGCACTCCTAGTAAACACTGACCCCTAGCGGTGCACTCCTAGTAAACACTGACCCCTAGCGGTGCACTCCTAGTAAACACTGACCCCTAGCGGTGCACTCCTAGTAAACACTGACCCCTAGCGGTGCACTCCTAGTAAACACTGACCCCTAGCGGTGCACTCCTAGTAAACACTGACCCCTAGCGGTGCACTCCTAGTAAACACTGACCCCTAGCGGTGCACTCCTAGTAAACACTGACCCCTAGCGGTGCACTCCTAGTAAACACTGACCCCTAGCGGTGCACTCCCAGTAAACACTGACCCCTAGTAAACACTGACCCCTAGCGGTGCACTCCCAGTAAACACTGACCCCTAGTAAACCCTGACCCCTAGCAGTGCACTCCTAGTAAACCCTGACCCCTAGCGGTGCACTCCTAGTAAACACTGACCCCTAGACAGGTGGTGTCAGTAGAAACACTCACCCCAGGTCTTTGAACACGCGTGGGATCTCCTCCTCGAACTTAGAGTCTGGGATCTCATAGTTCGAGCAGATAAAACTATAAGTGAAGGCGAATAGCTTGAGAAAATCCTTGGTTGAAGGACCCTGTAAGGATTTCACGGTGAGGGTCTGGGAGTAGCTATTTTCATTCAGGAACTGCGGGAAGAAGCAGAGAGGACGGTGAGGGAAACAGGCAATAAAAAGCCGCTTTGTTTTATTCTATTTACTCTCATAGAAGACAGGGCGCGGAGACAAAGAATCTTCCATTACGGGGGGTTTGGCAATATAAAGTCCTGCAAGGAAAACCAGAGATCACTTCTATATCTATAGATTTGCTCCTATCATAGTACGAGTATACACCTGTTTAGGGATCGGGGTATTTGTATACTTGATGTTTGAATAGTTACATTGTACACATCACCCATTGTACACATCACCAATTCCTAGGACTTTTTGCTCATCCCTTGATGGGCCTTTCTGAACGTGGGAGCCGTGCCACCCTGGGGTGCCTTCTGGATGCATCAAAGTTTACGCACAGTGATATGCCTGTTAATAGCGCAGGTGGGCTACGGATGTGATGGGGGAACTCTGATGTGAAAGAGGGGGGCTCAGATATATCGAGGGGGACCTCTGATATATAAGGGAGGCTCCTGATGTGACGCTGTGACTCTAAACTGAAAAGAGGGGGGATCTGATCTGAAGGGGGGTTCATACTGTAGTGTGGGACTGGAGACTCTGATGTGAAAGGAGGGGGTTCCTAATATAAAAAGAGGTGCTCTGATGTGAAAGAGGGGGGCTCAGATATAAGGGAGGCTCCTAATGCAACTACATAAATCTGATGTGAAAAGAGGGGGGGGTTCATACTGTAGTGTGGGAGTGGGGACTCTAATGTGAAAGGAGGGGGCTCATGATGTGAAGG